GTTCTTCATGCAGTAAGATTTGAGAGAATGCTTAATTGAAATTCAGTGCAGTACCACCCCTGGTTCACTTGTGATATAAGTGGAAATACTATTGAAAGTGGTGTTAAATCCAAAATCACCTCACCCCCAGGGCACATTTGTGAGAAAAGCTAATAACATAAGGGGTGGCCTGGTGGTCTTGTTTTCAGAATGACAAACGCCCCATGTTAATGAACTTGAAAGTTCTTCCAAGTTAAGTCATGTTATTTGATTTGTTTCATATCATAAAGTCATGTAAATGAAAGAGCTGCTGCTGCAAGGATGTATTGTTATCTTGAATGAAATTATAAAAAAATGTTGAATGAACTTTTTCGTGTTGTTAATTGAAGTTCATGTGGAAATAAGTTTCAATTTTTTTTTATTGATATACTAAAACTTGGCACTTGGACAATACAATATACATTTATGGCACCAACTGGTGGTAAACAGTAATTCTGTTCAACAACATCACAAAAATAAATCATAAGATAGGCTATCACACAGTCCCTCTCTGGATGATCACATAACAGTATCTAATGATCACAGAAACATATACAATCACAGTTTCTCTCTGGAGATCACAGAACATATACACATCATCACAGTCATCACTCTCTGGATGATCACAGAAACATATTTACACATCACATGATTTCTCTCTGGATGATCACAGAAACATATTTACACATCACAGTCATCACAGTCTCTCTGGATGATCACAGAAACATATTTACACATCACAGTCTCTCTCTCTGGATGATCACAGAAACATATTTACACATCACAGTCTCTCTCTGGATGATCACAGAAACATATTTACACATCACAGTCTCTCTCTGGATGATCACAGAAACATATTTACACATCACAGTCTCTCTCTGGATGATCACAGAAACATATTTACACATCACAGTCTCTCTCTGGATGATCACAGAAACATATTTACACATCACAGTCTCTCTCTGGATGATCACAGAAACAAATATAAAGATCACAGAAACATTTACACACATCACAGTCTCTCTCTGGATGATCACAGAAACATATTTACACATCACAGTCTCTCTCTCTGGATGATCACAGAAACATATTTACACATCACAGTCTCTCTCTGGATGATCACAGAAACATATTTACACATCACAGTCTCTCTCTGGATGATCACAGAAACATATTTACACATCACAGTCTCTCTCTGGATGATCACAGAAACATATTTACACATCACAGTCTCTCTCTGGATGATCACAGAAACATATTTACACATCACTGGAGATCACTCATAATTACACATCTCTCTGGATGATCACAGAAACATTTACAGAAACATATTTACACATCACATCTGGATGATCACAGAAACATATTTACACATCACAGTCTCTCTCTGGCATCACAGAAACATATTTACACAGAAACATACATTTTAGCACATCACAACATATTTTTGGAGAACATGTTTAAATATCCTATTTTTTGCTGCACTGCAATGGATTGAGGTCAGGGTGCATTTCATGAAATCAAAATCTTTCCACTTTGGTCCTTGGCAGTCCTCCTCATCACCTCCTTCTAGACTTCTCCCACTAAAAGTCCTTCCCACAGAAACAAATTTCAATGTGCATCACACCATGTGTCTCATCAGTCGTCCTTTCTGTTTGTCACAATGATCACATTTGAAACATGTGTAGTAATTGTTTTTCATGAAAGTCTTTTCCACATACCCACTTTGAGTGCCGATGGATCCTTAGTATGAAAACAATATCACATTTCAAAGTTGTGCCTTCATGTAACAGTGCCGCTTGAGTGCCATGGACGCTAAAGCTTTTTCGCAAAGTTTGATCGCATGGCTTGAAGGTGCGCTTTGAGGAGGACTCGAATATTAAACCCTTTACTACATTGGCTACATACATAGGGAAACTGTTTTGTATGTTGCCGGGTGTGCATTTTCATTCCCATCTTTGTTGATAGCACCTTGTCACAGTACTCGCACTCGAACCTCTGAAGATCTGGTTGTGGTTCAGTCCCTGTCTGTGATGTGGTTGGTGACTCTGGAATGGTAGTCAATTCATCACAGGAACCCGGATCTGTCATTTCTTTCAGGAGCATTGCTGGAAAATCAAAAACAGATAATTAAGTCTCTATTAGGACATCTCAAAGTGAAGCTTATTCCAATTTAACAGTTATTTTAAAAATTAAAAATTAAAATTAGCCTCATAAAAATAATTTCTGATCAGTTAAAATATCCAGTTCTTTATACATGATAAAAATATATTACATATCATCTTGGTAAAAAAAACCCCGAAAAATAACAAAATTAATTTTGAAAAGACAGCAGTGCAGTATAGCAATTAATATATAGACCTACAGACACATGCACTTGATATACTTTCCATAGACTTACATGTTAATTTAGTGAATCATAAATAATTTTCATTCAGGTGATTTCACATTTGACTATGATCGAAAGTAACTTCATGAAAATTGTTTATTTAATTAGTCAATGGAAATTACATGACCACGACACGAGTCTGTAATTATATTCAAAATATATTTTACATATTTATACCATGAAAAGATATAAGTTCGGATTAGATTTTTGTCAAATTATATATTGAAAATATATACAGTCAGTTATTCATTTGGGTTCCCAGTTTTGGTCTTGTGAAACCATACTATCATGCTCCACCAAACCAAGAATCAGAATCGGTTGGCCGTATTTGATACGGACTATAGTGGTTCCACATGCTAATCACAAAATGACTTATATTCTTCGATGTAGCTGGCGAAATGATGTAATATTTTACAGTTTCGTGTTAGGAACCTTTATCTAGTTTTTCTAGTTCATAAAATATCTCAGAGCAAGATATATGAAGAATAAAAATCATTTTCACTTACCAACCGCAGGAGTCAAAACTTTCATCTGCCATTTTGGAATTGGGCAGCGCATGCGCAGTCACATCGTGATGCACTTCGAGTCTTTCGGAACGCGTCCTCGATTCTTTAAATTTGCAGATCGTCGTATTTTTATTCAGTTTCTTTGGTAGGCCTGTTAAAGTAAGACACTCTGTCTCTTCGGGGCGGTGAGGTAGCCTTGTGGTTAAAGTGTTCGCTCACGCCGAAAACCAGGGATCGATTCCCCATATGGGTACTATGTGTGAAGCCCATTTTCTGGTGTCCCCCGCCATGATATTGCTGGAATATATTTAAAGCGGCGTAAAACCAAACTCACTCACTCACTCACTCACTATGCCTCTTCAGGTAGTAGTGTCTGTGAAAGTAAGACACTGTGTCTGTTCAGGTAGTAGTGTCTGTTAAATTAACACACTGTCTCCGTTCATGTAGGGGTGTCTGTTAATGTAAGATACTCTCTCTCTCTTCAGGTAGTAGTGTATGTTAAAAGAAACCATTGTCTTTCGGTAATTAGGATAATAAATTGTTGAAAAGCAAACAAAACATCCATAGTATATTCTAGTTTGTTATTATTATTTGAAGAAAGGTGTTTAAAAGTTAGAAGCACTATGCTTCACTAACTTGACGCTCAAAATTCTTCTGCTGTTAACTGGGTCAAAATATACTTGGTATGCAAATTTACATTGATTGCATCATGAAACATGTCGAAATAGTTTGTCAAATTAATCTTTACCATTAACTTGAATAACAATTATAAACGACGACCTTTCCTTGTAAGCATTAAGTAATAATGTCTTAAATGGTCATTCAGCTATATTACCACCTCATTCGTTGTGTTGTCTTCCTGCAATAGTCTTATGGTCCAATCCCAGGATCGCCCTAATTATGAGTTTAGATTTGTCAGCACAAAATGCAATCTCCATGAACTGCTTTACTGTTGATGTTACAAACATATAATGCTAACGGTGAAAATACAGCTCAAACGCTGACCTGAACTCAACTCGTTCCTTCACCCTGACTACCGAGACGAGGTCCCTAAAGAAACAGAAATATTTATCTGTTCTCGATCAGGTCAAAGTTACGACCAATTAAATCCTTATTACTGAAAGGAGTTGATAAAGTGAGTGAGTGAGTGAGTATGGTTTTACGCCGCTTTTAGCAACACTCAACCAACATCACTGCAGGGGCACCAGAAATTGGCTTTACAGAAGTTGACAAAGAAACGACTAACGGGATCGGGTGGTCAGACTGGCTGACTTAGTTGACACATGTCATCGTATCCCAACTGCGTAGATTGATGGGCATGATGTTGATCACTAGATTGTCTGATCCAGATTCGATTAAGTAAAGACTGCCGTCATATGGCTGGAATGTTGCTAAGTGCGGCATAAAACAACAGACAAACAATAGATAAGGAAACAAAACACAAACAGTTCAACATTTTTATTGTATATCAATGCCCATTGCCTCCCAATAGTATCATGTTAAGAAGGTCACCTTTAGCGCACCTCGGACATAACGATCTTTCTATCTAACATATTGCTGCTCTCACCAACGCTGACGATATAACACTCATCGGGCTGCGATTCCAGTTTGGAACTATATAGATCAACACAATTTACTCACGTCCCTATTACATCCGAGGTCCATAAATTTCTGTCCATCAAACACATACCACAAGTTTAAATCTGTGTTGTCATTGAAGAAACCGTCTCCTTCTCACATGTCAGTATTTATGTGCAATGTAAAGCAGAAATTTAAACGTTGCTTTTAATACAACTAGGATTATAATGTTAAAACATGTGGAGGTTTCATAAATACATATTTCTTTCTTGGATATGGCACACAGATCATACAGTGGATACTGTAATGTCAACTGGAATTCATTACCGGGTGTTGTGATTTCCTTCTCGTCTGTGAACCTTAAAGGACATCCAGCATATTTTCGTCCATCAAGTTCAGGGCCTAGATTTTCGAAGTTCTCTTAGCGCTAAGATAGTCGTAAGTTAATGTTGATGAATGGCACTTACGACTATCTTAGCGCTAAGAGACCTTCGAAAATCTATGTCCAGGCATATTTGGCAGATGTCTACCCCTGTCCACTGTAGGCGACCAACCACTCCTCCACTGGTTGAAGGTCATATTCCTCTGGGCCTATTCCTCCAACAAGCACAATCACGCCATCCAACACGATATATAGCCTTTCAGGAAGACTGCAGTATGCGGTAACAGCCTCGTCTGTTACATCATCCAGAACCAAAGGACATCTCACATTCTCATCTCGCAAGAACTTTGCCGCCTCGGCCCGGTCGGTCATGTTCTTAGCTGATTCAATGTAATAAGCGTTGTTCTTGAAATGCCACCCGTCTGTTGGGTGAGCTTCCTTTATGTATATAAGAAGAAAGTCAGCTATATGTCCATACTTTTGAACAATGTCATTGAACTTGGCCAGTTTGGCCATAAAGGGAGGTCAGCTGCAGCTTTTCAAAGTTGATATCCAGAGGGCGCCCCTTCTTCATGAAGTCCAGTAGACGATGTTTGGTTTTGCCGTCTGCTGACCAGACGAAAGGGTTACACGCTTTGTCATTCAGTTCCTGATTCGGAAATCGCTGGTTCCACGTCTCAGTCTGGATGTGGTTCCCAGACAGAGTAAGCTATCAAATAATTCTCCTTCCTCAACAGATGCTCAATCAAGAATAGGGGCCTATTCGATTATGCTAAACTGGTTTTGGTTTCTGGAAAACCTTGATTATGTCGAAACCTAAAACTGGGTTCTGAAACTTCGAAACCATCTCCGAGGCAGGTTTTGCAGTTTCGGTTTCGCGTACTTTCACAACAAACATGGCGGAAACGAAAGCGCCATATTCATCTGCTCTTGGTTGCAAAATATAGCAGCAGTTTCTGTAACCAAAATAATGATAAAAAAAAACAACCGAGAACAAGGGAAATATTATTTAAAACCCCATTCTATTGAACGTGACTATTTTATGTAACTTGTATACATATGATTACTTGTATCTCATCTATTTATTATTTGTTAATTCACTGATGAAATAACAAAAAATATTTCCTCCGGCAATACTGTCATGCAATTCGGTCCACATATATAGCAGCTGAGACATATTTGGGGTATACACTCAAGGCTAAAAGAAAGTGGCCCATTTTATTTTGGATATATGAAATTTATTCAAAATTGTTGAAATATATTTTCTTTTGTTTAACAATCGCCAAAACACACCAATAATGTTGTCATTGGGAAAAATTGACTTCGAGCTAAAAAATCGCGAAATTTGTGCAAATGGTGAAATACACGTTTTTTGAAGGATAAAAGCGACACTACGTCAGCCAAACGAGGCATTTAACGACCGTTGGTATAACACAGACGTTGTGAAACAGGAAAACACTTAAGATATGCCTAGACTTACTTCAGAACAGCGTGAAAGGGTATAGGAATGATAAACATGGGAGCTTCTCATGCCCATGTCGCAAGAACGTTTGGTTGTCACAGACATACTATCAATAGACTTATTAAACGTTTCAATGAAACTGGCAGGACTGTTGACCGACCAAGGTCAGGTAGACCAAAGGTCTCTACCTCCCAGGAAGATCGATATCTACGAAATCTACATCTGAGGAATCGGTTCCTGACAGTTTCGGAATCGGCATCAACGGCACTCGGTCGAGTTGTCAGCAGACACACAGTTAGACGACGACTACAGCATGCCGGAATTCGAGCCCACAGACCATTCCGTGGAACAATGCTGACACGTCAACATCGCCTGAATAGGCTGATCTGGGCACGTCGTGTTCGACGATGGCAGCTTCGTGATTGGCGTAGGGTTCTATTCAGCGATGAGAGTAGGTTTTGTTTATACCATAACGACGGTAAAACACGTGTGTATCGCCGTCGTGGTGAACGTCATGCCCCGTCATGCGTTATGGAGGTTCAGGCTCATGGTGGTGGGAGTGTTATGGTTTGGGGAGGTATCTGTGGCGAAATGAAGACACAATTGGTCACAGTTCAAGGCAACCTGACAGCACAACAATACACTGACCAGGTTATTCGCCCAGTTGTGTTTCCTTTCGGTAATCAACACTAAGGGATATTATTTCAACAAGACAATGCTCCTGCACACACAGCTAGAATTGTGACAGACTTCATGGGAACCAATAACATCAACGTTTTGCCTTGGCCGTTTCGCTCCCCTGACCTCTCACCAATAGAGCACTTCTGGGACTTTCTGGGCAGGTAAATCAGAATGAGACTAAACCCTCCAGCAAACCCGAGACAACTGGAACAGGTCATTCATGAGGAATCGAGGAGTATCCCAAATGCCTTCATCAGACGTCTTGCAACGTCAATGAGACGTCGTACTTGCATGTATCAATGCAGAAGCAGGACACACAAGATACTAAGTAATGCACACCTAAACGTTGACATTTGTGTTTTAATCTAGAGTTCACAGATATTGTTCAAGACAACTGAAAACATGTAACTTTGCCTTTTGATACCAGTGTCATTTAATTAAATGTTGCTTAAACATTACTTCATGTTTGATGTTGTAATAACCTGCGGATGTTTAGCAAGTGGCCTTACTATCAACATAAATAGATGTGAAATCAATTTTTTTGTCTGTGTTGATTTTCATTAAGATTTTTAGCACAGGCCACTTTCTTTTGGCCTTGAGTGTATATTTTGAAACCGGATGGTGAAACCATCCGCTCGTTTATAAAACTAGATACTAGTTTCACTTTGAAACCATGTATACGAAACTTGACACTCGTTTATAACTGGAGAAACCAGTTTCAGAAACCAAACCCAGTTTTGCAATAATCGAACAGGCCCTAGGTTTCCAAGTTTCCCGAAATTGTCGTCGTAGAGGTGGAAATATTCTTGAGAGGTTGATAGTGATAAACATAGTGACAAACGTCAAAATAGTGGAGATGGAAGCCAGCATTGTCAAGAGGATCCATGGCATCTTCGTCGCCATTTCCGTCCTCTTAAAAACAGTATTTATAGTTAGCAATTATACCACGCACGCACACTGGTGCTCTTGCCTCGCAGTCATACAAATCCAAATAGAATTCCAGTGATCACTGCACGGGTGGATCCCTAACTCTTTAGGTGTTACGTGTTGTCACATTATAGACACCGATCGATAGGTCATTATATGGGACATCCCATATATTTACCTGTCCAACATCTAGACCACCTTTTGTACAACGCTGATCAACCATAGAACTCATATATTTCATGAAAACAAAATGTTTTAAGAATGTTATGTGTATGTCTGCCTTCTATACAACTCAATACATAGTCCTGATTGTGTTTGACCGCTAATTTGTCCGGAGGGTATGGGTAGATATGTTCACTAGACGTTGCGTTTTAGCGCAACATCCGCACTGTCCCAAATATGTAATCTTATGCTTGTGTCTGGACCAGACGACCCAGTGATCAACATATTAGCATCGATCTACACAATTGGCATGTGTCAACTAAGTCACCGAGCCTGTCTACCCGATCCCTTTGGTCGCTTCTTACGAGAATCATGGTGATGCTGAAGACCAAATCTAAGCCGGATCTTCACGAGTGATACTATGTAAGTTAATGCAGACATGAAAGCAGCCTCCTCAAGAGCTTGACTTTTCCTGCTGGTTCGCAGTTCGGAGTTCAGGCCCATGGAAAACGAGATAACACCCTTATGCCGAACAAGCTTGTAAAGCGGGTACCTTGCTCTGTTTGCAGAAATAACTGTAATACACTTTGACACAGATGAGACACAGTGAGAGAAGGGATTTGGGGACTTCTGAATTTTAATACCATTCACATGTGCAACAGTATTTACATGATATTGGATGTACACACTATCCTATGGAATCCTGGAAGGGACATTGTCACGTTGTCGCATTGTCGCGTTGTCGCCCTCTCAAATACAAACAAACTTAACCAAAACGCGACACGCGACATCGCGACAACGCGACATTTCGCCCATTTGTCGCATTGTCGCGATGTCGCTTGTCGCGTTTTGAATAATATTTTTTATTCCTCCAAAGGGCGACACGCGACATAGCGACAATTTTCAAGGTCAAGATGTGTAAAAACAGCCTAAAAATTTACCAAAACGCGACACGCGACACGCGACAATCCGACAACGCGACATTGATGAAATGTGGCGTTGTCGCATTGTCGCGTGTCGCGCTTTGTTAAAATATTGAGTATAGTATGTATTATAACATATGACTAAAACGCGACACGCGACAATGCGACAAAAAAAATGTCACATTGTCGCATTGTCGCGTTGTCGCCCTTTTCGATTACCGGTGCGCATGTGTAGAAAGTCAATTAGTCTACGCATGCGCAGAAAATGTTATACTCTATTTCAAACTTCACTGGTCCTTTGTTACCTCCAATGGTTTTTACAATGAAGTAGTGCTCGTAATGGCAATGGGGGCTGCTTTTCTTGAACTTAATGGAAATCTTTTATTGTTGCTTTATTATTTTATATATTGTAAGTGTGTTTAGCCAATCAAGTGTGTCTTAGCAGCCAGACAATTTATTAGGGCTACTATTCATTGTAATGACGGCACACGGTGGCCCTGTCATTCAAGGCGAGGCAATTTGCTATGCAGGGTTGTGTCTCTTAGTCACACTAGATAACTATGATCATAGGTTCGAATCCCAGCGCCATACACATTTATCACTTTGAACATTTCACCCATATCAAGCTCACAGGTTGTGAAAAAACTGAAATATGTTCGACAGTGTGGCTCCTGACACAGTTTCTTGGTACAGTCCTGTCCGACGGTGATGAATTTGTCCGACATCTGCCTCTGTTCAGCCAGCAGTGGATGGATACCAGGTAGAATGAGATGGTAATATCACTTAACCATCCAGCGCCTCAAATACAGTTTAGGTCGGCTTTGAACGTGATATTCTTCTTGGGAAAACGCCATACAAATTCACTGTTATCATTATGATATTAGAAACGATGAAATCGCTTGGCAGAGTTGCGTACCCTTGGAGTGCCAGAAACCTCCCTCTCTCACTCACTCCTCTCACTCCGCTCCACTCCACTCCACTGGGCTCCGCTCCGCCCCACTCCGCTCTTCTCCACCCCTCTCCGCTCCACTCCACTCCACACTCACTGACTCAAGGTTTAGGGAACTTGGTAAATTAGCAAGGTATTTCATTACAATAATGTGTTGTGATGTCTGTGTTTCAATTCTATTTGAATCCTACATTATTAATCCTGCACGTGTCATGATTCACAATATATCGACAATTTTCGATACGATACTATACCCAGCGATACACATGTACTTGTATCGTTTCAAACATACACCTACGCAATCATAATAATTTTCAGCAAAATGGCCAGTTTCAATACATCCATTCCATTAACCAAGAACTCTTAACCCACACACTTCACGGCCACATTTATTATTACTCTGAGTTCGATCCCTGGATATCTTAGCCCTTTAAAAACATCTAAACATAATCATCCTTGTAATAGTTTTGAAATTCCGCGGTAACTAATAAAACGCGACACGCGACAACGCGACAACGCGACAACGCGACATTTTGATGAAATGTGGCGTTTTCGCATTGTCGCGTTTTGTTGAAATATTGACTATAGTATGTATTATAAGGTATTTGACTCTAAAACGCGAAGCGCGACAATGCGACAACGCGACAAATGGGCGAAATGTCGCGTTTTGGTTTATTTTGCCTCACTTTACTTGTTTTTGAGAGGTCGACAATGCGGCATAGCGACAATGTCCTTTCTCGGATTCCATACTATCCTGCTCATAGATAATCGTTTACACCTTGTGATCCTAGGTGACAGCTCTCCTGTCATCACACGTGACTCCAGTAGTTCCGGTCACGTGGTCATACGCGGTGCTGTCAAATAACATCAGAAAACGTACAGAAGACACACCTGTAAGCCTTTTCAGCATCTGCATAACAGGTATTGTTTAAACTGTAGTCTTATTGCTGAGCGTGTGTGGCACCGCAATTACCAATATTCCAGTGATATCCGAGCGGTTAGTCTGTCATACAAACCTTGAAAGAAATATACCCATTGCAAGTCTAGAATTAGGGGGCATCTTATATTCTTGTCACTTAGCATCATGGCCGCCTCTACTCGGTCGTCCATACTTTGGGCGGTTCCAATTTGGTACTTATTATTATTGAAAGTCCAACCGTCTGTTGGGTGGGCCTCTTGTATGTATATAAGAAGAAAGTCAGCGATATGTCCATACTTTTGAACAATGTCGTTGAACTTGGCAAGTTTGGCCATAAAGGGAGGTCAGCTACAGCTTCCAAATTTGAGAACCAGAGGGCGACCCTTCTTCATGAAGTCCAGCAGGCGGTGTTTGGTTTTGTCGTCTGCTGACCAGACAACTGCGTCGGGGGCTCTACAATTCTCTTCAGGGTAGAAGCCTGCATCCAGTAACCATTCTTCTAGAATCAGTTTCCAGTTTTTCACCCTGAGGAACGACTCAAACGAGTCAGTTCCACTCACTGAGGAACCTTCATGGATTTTGTGTAGAGTCCTTATAAACCATCGTTTGACCGGTGGACATATTCTTCAATACACAAATAGTGGACGACTGGCTCAGCGCCTACAGAGGGCGCTAGTTCAAACATGCGCACTCCTACATCTAGTTTCTTTTTACAGATCCCAGCGCATAATATTTAACAACTCATTTCATTCTCAGCGCTAGGCTGAATTCAAGAGATTTGTAGGTGCCTTGAAGGATGGTTTTATTTAATCTTAATTAGATTATTTCAGGTTGTGGTATGCTAGTCTTCCTATTTTTATTACAATTTCATGAGTTCTTTTTTAATTTGCCCATACTAGCAAAATACACGAAATTTGTTACCCCGAAACCGGGAAACAAACGTAAAGATTTTCCCAGCCATATGGTTCTAGCGCTACGCTGCGCTGCGCTCGGGGCAACACACAACTCGTCCGTGGCGGGTGACGTCACGCTCTCTATAAATAGGAGCGCTAATCATGCAACTTCCTGTTTTCAATTTTGGCTGCTACGGAGCACACCCCTGGTATAGTACCCCTAGTACCCTGGTATAGTATCACCCTTGGGGTTGAGGTCGGCCCGAGTTCCCAGGTGCCGGCTTCGTCAGACCCGCTGGGTCTGGAGTCGACGGCCCAGATAGAACCCGAACGACCCTACAGGACCGACGGGATTGGGGTCGGTTTATCCCAACGGGACACCGAGCCTTCAGCCTCGTGGGCCGACCTGGCTACGGGTCAGGTCCCGGCCGGCCCTGCGGTGGGTGCTGGCCAGGGTATGGCTGCCCCGGGTCCCGACCAGGACACTCCTGCTCCCGCAGAGATGTGGCAGGCCATCCAGAGGCAAAGTTTGCTTCTGGAGCAGGTTCTGTCTTTTCTACGGGGTCCCCCTATTGAAGGAGGACAGCAGAATGTGCTTAGTTGGGTAGCAACCACCGGAAGCTTCCCCCAGGCCCCTTCTGTTCCAAGGGACCCACCTCCGACCTTTGCTCGGGTTGTTAGGCGAGACATGGGTGCGGCGACCGTGCAGGCCCCGACAGTCCCGCTAGGTTTGTCCCAAGGGGACGGGCAGCGTCCCATGGACGTGGACTCAGACCCGGATGACTCCTCGTCCGTGGACTTTAGCATCCTGTACGAGGAGGTGTCTCATCCTAGGGTGGGACAAGCGTGACAGATGTGACAACGCAGTCAGAGCCGACGTCATCCACGCTTGCAAGGGAGAGTCCTTAGGCAGGGCCAGGAAGGTCCCACCGAAAAGCCAGAAAAGATGTGAAATCACCACAAAAGAGTGGCGGCACATCTTCTCCCAGGTCCTCAGGTTTTCCGAAGCTATCAGCAATTTTGCTGGGTTCGCCGCAGGAAAACGTGAGAGGAACTCAGGGGGCACGGGGAGAGCTGCCATGGAGAACGGCTCCGACCCGTCCGGCGCAAAGCAAGAGTATGTGCCCGGACCGTAAATACGAGGGGATTTACGGGTGGGCACTTTACCCGTCCTCTTCGCTAGATTAACATATACCATTGTTGATTATGCTTGGCGGCGTGGATCATTGGAGGCCCGACATAGTGTGGTTCTTCAGAATGTCCCCAGGCCTCTCGTTAGGCAAACGTCTGCAATATTTTACAGAAAAAAGACAGTAAATGGTGACGAAGATGCCATGGATCCTTTCGACAATGCTGGCTTCCATCTCCACTATTCTGACGTTTGCCACTATGTTTATTACTATCAACCTGTCAAGAATATTTCCACCTCTACGAAGACAATTTCGGGAAACTTGGAAACCTATTCTTCAGGGAGCATCTGTTGAGGAAGGAGAACTATTTGATAGCTTAGTCTGTCTGGGAACCTGGAAATATATTCTGACTGAGATGTGGAACCGCCGATTTCCGGATCAGGAACTGAATGACAAAGCGTGTAACCCTTTCGTCTGGTCAGCAGACGGCAAAACCAAACACCGTCTGCTGGACTTCATGAAGAAAGGGTCGCCCTCTGGTTCTCAACTTTGGAAGCTGTACCTGACCTCCCTTTATGGCCAAACTGGCCAAGTTCAACGAAATTTTTCAAAAGTATGAACATATCGCTGACTTTCTTCTTATATACATAAAGGAAGATCGCCCAACAGACGGGTAGCACTTCAAAGACAATGCTTATTACATTGAATCAGCTAAGAACATGACCCACCGGACTGAGGCGGCAAAGTTCTTGCGAGATGAGAATGTGAGATGTCTTTTTGGTTCTGGATGATATAATATGGAATATGACCATCAACCAGTGGAGGAGTGGCTGGTCGCCTACAGTGGACAGGGGTAGATATCTGCCAAATATGCCTGGACCTTCGAAAGTCTCTTAGCGCTAAGATAGTCGTAATTGCCATTCATTAACATTAACTTACGACTATCTTAGCGCTAAGAGAACTTCGAAAATCTAGGCCCTGAACTTGATGGACGAAAATATGCTGGATGTCCTTTAAGGTTCACAGACGAGAAGGAAATCACAACACCCGGTAATGAATTCCAGTTGACACTACAATATCCACTGTATGATCTGTGTGCCATGACCCAGAAAGAAATATTTATTTATGAAACTCCCATATGTTTTAACATTATAATCCTAGTTGTATTAAAAGCAACGTTTAAATTTCTGCTTTACATTGCACATAATACTGACATGTGAAAAGGAGGCAGTTTCTTCAATGACACCACAGACTTAAACTTGTGGTCTGTGTTTGATGGACAGAAATTTATGGACCTCGGATGTAATAGGGACGTGAGTAAATTGTGTTGATCTATATAATTCCAAACTGGAATCGCAGCCCGATGAGTGTTATATCGTCAGCGTTGGTGAGAGCAGCAATATGTCAGATAGAAAGATCGTTATGTCCGAGGTGCGCTAAAGGTGACCTTCTTAACATGATACTATTGGGAGGCAATGGGCATTGATACACAATAAAAATGTTGAACTGTTTTTGTTTTGTTTCCTTATCTTTTGTTTGTCTGTTGCTTTTCAGCAATATTCCAACTAAATGGTAGCGGTCTGTAAATAATCGAGTCTAGACCAGACAGTCTAGTGATCAACATCATGCCCATCACCCTTCGCAATTCTGATACGATGACATGTGTCAACTAAGTCAGCCAGTCTGACCACCCGATCCCGTTAGTCGTTTCTTTATCAGCTTCTGTAAAGCCCATTTCTAGTGTTCCCCGCCGTGATATTGCTTGAATGTTGCTAAAAGCGGTGTAAAACCATACTCACTCACTCACTTTATCAACTCTTTTAGTAATAAGGATTTAATTGGTCGAAACATTGACCTGGTCGAGAACAGATAATTACTCCTGTTTCTTTGGGGACCTCGTCTCGGTAGTCAGGGCGAAGGAACGAGTTGAGTTCAGGTCAGCGTTTGAGCTGTATTTTCACCGTTAGCATTATATGGTGGTAAAATCCACAGTAAAGCAGTTCGTGGAGATTCCATTCTGTGCTGACAAACCTAAACTCATAATTAGGGGGACCGACCGCCTCCGTGGTGTAGTGGTTAGAGCGTCTGCCCGGAGAGCGGAAGGTCGCGGGTTCGATCTCCGATCGCGTCATACCAAAAGACGTTAAAATATGGTACTTGTAGGTCCCTGCCTGGTGCTCGGCATTAATGGGTACAACAAGGACTGGTCGACTCGGAGTCAGTATAATGTGTGTGAGTGGGGTATTCATGCTTCACTGCGGCATGGTATCTCAGTGGGCTAGCACTATAAAACCAGCTTCAGTCTGGGCTAGTACAAGCAGCCGCACATACACATACACACGCATGCACGTCGTCATATGAGCGAAATATTCTCAAGCACGACGTTAAACCCAATTTCACCTCACCTCACCCTTCACGTCTTCAGTCAGTGACACGCACCGCCAGATGTTAACGGTGAACGCGCTGCGAATGTTGTGAAGCACGTGCACGTGAGTGTGTGGGATGCACGAGCAGTGTGTCCGTGCTCTACATGCTATGTAACGCGTCTGTCTACTTCAGACAGACAACACGTACTTACAATAGATCGTCCACACAGGTAAACTGTGAGCTTCCTCAGATGATAACGAGTTCCAGTGTACCAACTTGATTTTTATGCATACTATGATTTTGCTTGCTTGGTTCCTCATTTCATTAAAATGCACATACGAATACACATTTGTTTGCATCTTTAACCAGGTGTAATCTTGAATACAAGTGGACGTTGCTTTGCATAGCATTGACTACATGCATAATACGTTGTGTAGTATATGTGCAACATATACAGTTTTGCAGTATACATATTACAGTAAGGGCTGGACAGAAGGGGAAATAATATCGGCCTGTGACTGTGATACAGACTGGGACAAGGTATCGAAAACCAACAATTTGGACAACAGACCATTGTTTGGGTCTTTCAATTGTAAATATGATTCAAATAGCTTAACCTAGATTTCGATATTCTTCGAATGTACATTTGGTTGAAACTGGAAAATATACATTTATCCTGAGACAAGAACGAATGTTTACATATAATTCAAAAGTATGACAGCACGAGTATCCATTTTGTCTTTTGTCTTCTACTTGTCCCTACTAGACGAACAACTGGTCTCTGAAATGAACATATTTTACAGAAAAAATGTTCAAATTAAAAAAGAGAAATATAATAAAAAAGGAGCCCTGAGACATTCTCCTGAAGCTGTGGAAATCTAGACTTGCCACATTTTCTAGACTTGCGTGGACTTGGATATATTTGCTTCAGGATCTGTATGACAGACTACGTCCCTACATACGCTCAATCACAAGTGTCTCCAGGTCACGGAGAATCATTGGTGTAGGGGCTCGTATTGCAATTCTCGTGCGTTTGCATGTGTTGTTGACGCGGCATGGACGCCTTGTAACATCACTATTTGATTATGATTCACAAACACATGCTCATGATATGGTCGGAATCACACCATGGATTAGCAGATATTTATCATGAAAACAGGTTTTTATGTAGGTGGCTTGAAACTTGCGTTTACAAAGGCCAATAGATTCGATCACAATACTTTTCGTTTTACAACTTCTTTTCTCTTAACATGCTGACCTCAAAACTGATTTAAATTCTAATCGCTGATTAAAGAGTAAGACAATAAATAGTATGCCAAATTATCGTTACCATGACAACCCTGTGATATTTCACCTTATGTAAGAGAGTAATAAATACGATGCTAGGTATGGCAGTACTACTGCAGTTGATAGTGTCTGTCGTAAATTTTAATAAGTTGCTTCAACGCTATCACTAATCACTGGGTATGTGTATACACTTATATGTGTGATGGAGGAGATCTTGCGTCGCTAGTTTTCTCAATAATCTGAATACATGTATGTAGCGTGAAACCGGCAGATACTTATAGAAG